GTGCAGCACCAGCGCTGCCCAGCGCCCCAAGGGCAGGTGTGCTCCAGACCCTGCCGCCAGGGGCCCCGGGTGCGGCTGCTGGTGGGCCGCTGGCCAGAGGTGCCTGGGCACGTGAAGGACCACAGCTGCATGGCAGCTCCAGCTGCGGCTTCTGGCCTTGACTTCCCCTGGGCCTTCGAAATGACATTTGTTTATCGTAGTTCCGGCATTCTTGGACAGCCTGACGACTAGAAATGAGTCATACAAGGCCGAGCCAGTTCCTCCTGACCCAGGGGCTGGCGCTGGGGGATAGGAGTGGGCAGGGCACTGGTCCTGCAGCGGCAAGCCCCCGAGGAAGGGGAGTGGGTCCTGGGGGGCTTCCTGGGCTCAAGTAAGAACAGTTCCAGACAAATCATGCTCAGTGGGAAAACGCCTTCTGGATGCTTCCCTAAGGTCGGAATTCCATTTGTAAATAAATTTTTAGAGCGGGATTCTATTTCTGGATGTCATTTACCTGGATGTCTTCCCTTGACCCGAGCTTCCTGTCTTCCGGAGGTCAGGCCATCCTCCTGAAATCTGCAAGGTCACGTGCTTCTCACAGCGGGGGACCCAGCGCCGGCTCCCCCAGACGCTTGAGGTCCTTGTCCCAGTTCCCACTCTCCCGGCCTCCCCAGCCCGCAGCCCCTCAGGGAAGAACCTGAGACCTCTGTGTGGGGTCAGCTTGCCAGAACCACAGGGAGCTGGAGGGGCTGGGGGCCATTGTTTGCTTTCTGACCAGACTGCCGGCGCCAAGACAGCAGGTGCAGTGAGCGGTCCAAGTGGAGCAGCAGCAAGTACGGCCATCAGTGGGCGGCTGGCGTAGGATCTTGTCAGCGAGGGCACCCGTTCTAGGGCAGGGCTGGCAAGCCCAGATAGGGACAGGTAGGAGTGAGGATGGAAGCCCGGTTCAGATGCTGCCTGAGGACTAAGGTGACAGTACAGGGCACACAAGAGTTGTGTGCAATGATGCAGCTGCAGGAATGGCTGCATCCAGACACCCATTTGGTGGCATTTCCCTCAATAAACATGGTCTTGAAGATGGCGTGAGTCTGGGGAAGCCAGAGAGCAAGGACAAAGGCCAAGGAACTTGGAAGGGAGTTTGGTGTGTGGCCCAAGGGAGGGACACAGGCTGGTAAAGAGTTGGGAGACGTGGGGGCAGGAGGGCACCTGGTGGGATGGTTCCGGAAGGAGCCTGGAGCCATTGTACCCAGCAGAGACCTGCAAGCTTCCCGTAAGAGGCTGCCAAAGGTCAAGAGTGGAAAGTGTGAGGGTCTGGAGAAGCCCACCCTGGAGGCTGGGTGAGGGAGGAGCATGGTGGTGAGGAGTGCTCGGCTCCCAGGCCCGCCCCTTCCTGCTCCGGCCCTTGATGTGTGTGGGATCAGGGTGCAGACCACCCCCCTTAAGTGTGTGGATGCTGGACCCGGAGCCCAAGGGCAGGGTGACCTCCATGTTTCTGGGCGGGGCTCCTGGAGCACAGTCCCCAGGCGTCCAGCAGGCAGCGCTCAGGACCTCTGGACTCCTTGGGCCCCGCGTGTTGGGTATGTGTATGTATGCGTGTGTGTGCAAAAATGCCGCATCCGATTTCCTTCTCAGGTTGAGGGGATTGGGGTGGGGTACAGGGAAAGTCAGGAGGGACTGGGCTCTGACCCGAGGGGGCTGCAGAGGGGCAAGTGCCCCACACGGTGTCACTGATGCTGGGCTCCTAAGCCAGACCCTCCCTTGGCTGGCTGGCGCCTCTAAAAAGGCAGCCCCCTCTTTTGCCTCCAAGTCCAGCAAAACCACTTGAGTTGGTTTCCCTACCCGTGGCTCTTTTGCTCATGGCACAGTTGTACTTTTATTCTCTGGTACGTCCTATAAACGAGTAGCTACGTCTGCTGGTTCTGTTAGGTTCAGATAAGGTATTTTTGTTTGTTTTTAAAGATTTTATTTGAGAGAGAGAGAATGAGAGATAGAGAGCATGACAGGGAAGAGGGTCAGAGGGAGAAGCAGACTCCCCGCTGAGCAGGGAGCCCGATGTGGGACTCGATCCCGGGACTCCAGGATCATGACCTGAGCCGAAGGCAGTCGCCCAACCAACTGAGCCACCCAGGCGCCCCAGATAAGGTATTTTGAGTAAAAATTCCTTAAAAAGTGAGAACACTGAGCAGTGTGTTCCCATGGCCCAGGTGCACTCTGCGTACAACAGAGCTCTTGTGTGGTCTGCCACGGTCTTTATTGTTGCTTCATCGTGTCTTACTCTAACCCAAATCCTCAGGCACACCATGTAGGAAAACCAACTTGCCCTCTGCCCGCAACTCGCCCTGACGCACCCGCAGTCCTTTCAGCTCTACAGGCTTCAGGTGTTTTTGACACTTGCCCTTTGGGGCCATCAGCACCAGGCGTCTGGCTCTGCTCCCTGGGGCAGTAAACAGAAGTGCACTGCTGGCTCATCTATCCTAAAGGCTTCCCCTCAGGGTCTTCTTGGCCTAGAAGATAAAGGATTTGGTGTGAAGAGATTAGTTAGACGACACTGCAGAGCAAGAAAAAACCCCCACGAAATGCTCTCTGGTGGCAAATACCTTACGGAGAACCTGGCTACGGATGCCGGTGGCATGGATACGCGGCAGGGGGCTTGGCCGCTCGGAGCTGCCACAGGCCAGGGGGCTCTATCTGCTCCGTGGCAGTGTGCCCCCGAAGCCACGCCCCCCTGCACCAGGCACTGTGCAGACAAACCCCCAACACACCGCGCTCTGTGCTCGCGAGGCAGCAGGAGATTCTTACAGAGAACGCTGCGGCGAGGCACTGAACACCTGCCCGGAGACAGGGCTCCTGGGACGGAGCTGGATGGGAGCCCATTGCCCTTTCTGCCTCCTCACGCGGCTCCCAACTGCTGTGGACTACAGCAGAATGGGAAAAACGCGCTCCCCCGTGTCCGTCCTCGTGGTGAGAAACACTCAAGCACCTGGTCCCCGGGCCCACAGTTAAGTCATCTTCTGTGACCACAGCACGCGGAACAGCTCCTGAGCGTGGGGCCCACACCGCGGGGACATCTTTATGTGATCACTACGAAGGCAAGTAAAAACGCCTGTAACAGAATAACTCCTAACCACAAAAGGTGGTATGGAGAGACCTGTAACTAACATGTAAATTCTTCCAAGCAGTAACCCCTCCTCCTTTGGCTGTACAACAAGGAAGCTGCCGAGAGGACAGGTGCGGCCCTGGAAGAACAGCCCACGTCAGATCTAAGGCTGGTGACGGGGGCTGACTGGGGGTGGGGGCAGGACGAGGCCTGAGTGTCTGCTGTCATAGTCAGGAGGGAGACAGGAGGAGATCTCTGAGCCCTCGGGCTTCGAAGGGAGCATGTGCACTGTCCTCTCCCTGGAGAAGCGGCTAAGCCACAGCTAACCACTCTGCTCAGGATGATCTCGGAAGGTCAGGAAATGGCCTCAGGCTCCCTGATTTCTGCGGAGCTCACCCACCTGACCAGTCTGCAGTCCGGTTCTCTGCACCAGCAGCTCCGGGGGACACAGCTGATCACGGCCCAACCCAGACCCACCGGATGGGGCACCAGCCCAGGACCGCATCGCAGGCAGCCCCCTGCTCACGCTGTCTGGAGCTCCCACCTAGGTTTGGAGAGTCTGCATCTCCACCAACCCTACTTGCTCCACACCCTTGAAAATGTGTAAACACAATAATTCTTTCCTTCGAGGCTGGCGATCTTCACACCTTTCACGGGCTTAGCATCTGATCCAACAGGAATCAGAAGACGCCTCGAAAACAGAAGGGACGTGCTGTTTAGCGGTGAGAGTCCAAAACCAAGAGAACCGGCCCACCGTTCCCACCACGGCCCACCTCGGGGCCGGTGAGGACTGACAAGCCCAGGACAGTGACCTGTTGCTTCCCCCCGCCCCTCGGGGCAGTCGGGGGTGCCCCTCAGTGCGCGCTGGCTGGCCCGGGGCTGTGACCGCGCGCACAGCACGCCCGTGGGGCCCTAATCACCCGGGAAGCTGAGACCGCAGGTGCTGAGGCGCCCGGGGTTCGTCTGACGCCACGGCCACGGCCACGGCCACGACCCCCCACGGAGTTGCAGGCGCTGCCGCGCGCCCGCCGCCGCCCGCATCCTCGCGCGGGGGCTGGCGTTCCCCTCCCCGGACACACGCGGGCACACGAGCTCCGCGGCGGCTGGAGCCCCGCGGCGGAAGCAGCAGCAGGCCCCCGGCACCGAACGCACGGCAAGTCCCGCTGTCCCTCCCCAAGGCGGACTGGCGAGGGAGAGGCCCCGGGCGGCGCCCACCTACCGCGGCGGCGAAGCAGCTCCGCAGGGCCTCGAACTCCTGCGCACAGAGGTCCTTCATCAGGCGGCCGCCTGGGGCCGTGGACGCCTGCACGCACCTGCCGTAGGCCGCGGCCTGGGGGCGGGGGCACACGGGCGAGGATCGCAGCGGCCCCCGCGCCCGCCGGTCACCGCCGCGCCCGCCGGTCACCGCCCCGCCCGCGCGGGCCCTTCCTGTCCCGTAGGCACCGCCCCGCCCGGCGGCTCCTCACCTCTGCCCCACAGGCCGCTAGGCGCTCGGGGAAGGCGCGGAGGCGACCTCGCACGCGCCCCCACACCGCTCCGTTCCCCGACATGAGCAGCTGCTCCTGTCACCCATCGGCGCCGCCATCTTAGGTCCGTCCTCTTCCGGCGCCCAGGGGCTCGATAGGCGCGCCTTTCGCCCGCAGCTTTCCCTGCACTTCCTGATTGGCCAGTCTTCAGCAGCGCCCCCCCCCAGCACCCGCCCCTCTTCCGGAGCGGTGCCCGGTCTCCCCGAGCTCTGCAAGTGGCTCATGGATTTGTCTGTCTTGGATCTGGGACTTCGGATTGGCTCAGGCTCAAGTTGTTTGTCGGAGTCGGCGCCGAGACCCGCCCCGCGCGAGCGATTGGCCATCTGGGCCAGGCGCGCGCGGTGATTGGAGGGGGTCCGGGGCCGGGCCGCAGGCGGGGCCGGGAGGTGACCGGCATCATGGCGTCCACGCCGCCGCTGCGGGACCGTCTGAGCTTCCTGCACCGGGTGAGTGCGGGCGCCCGCTCGGTCCCCGCCGGTGTCTCCTCCCAGGCTCGGCCACCCTGCCGTCCCCCTCGGCCCTCTCCGTCCCCACGGACGCGGTGTGGGCAGGTCACGCCAGCCCTGCATCCGACTCTCCTGGGGCAGTGCGGCCCCGGGAACAGAACCCGAACTGGAAAGGCAGCTGGGGGCCCCGGTTTCTGGTTTTTTGCCCAGCCCAAAGCAGCCTTGCAGAAAAAACACAGCCGCGGAGGGTGTCCCAGATAAACCCAGCCGGACACCCGGGACGTCCCTAGCCCGGGGGAGAGCCCTGAGCTCGGGTCCCATCTGTGCCAGGAGGACTGAGGGAGGAGTGGGGCTGGGCAGCGTCCGGGCAACCCAGCAGCTGTGTGTGGGTTAGGATCCCATCCCCGCGCCGGCCCGGAGACAGGTCCTGTCCTTCCTCATCCTTAGCTTCCAGGAACGACTTTCAGGCCCCTGAGAAAGTCGCCCCTGGCTCGTAGGAGACGCGGGTTCACAATCGCGAGCCTTTTTCAGTAAAGGCTCCAAGAAGCAGAGGTGGGGGCTCGTCGTTGGTGTTGGCCAGGGCAAAAGCAGGTTCTGCTGGTGGCTTTGAGGTTTCTCAGGCAGGTGTTCACGGGGCTGGGCCGTCCTCCTGAAGCAGTCCCCTCAGTTCTATCAGCGCAGAGCTCCCACTCCGTGCTGAGGGTGTTACGGTTCTACGAGTCTCTCCAGCTCCCCTTTGGTGGACAAATAGCGTGAGTAGGGCACGCACACAGCGTCACACGATCTCCAGGCACCTGTCCTTGTGACACTGGACAGCGGCGATTCAAACCGTAGTCCGAGTAAGCACCTTGCAGAGTCCACGCGCTTGTCGTCCTATGTGTTCCTGAGGTTTTGCGTCCTGCCCCTGTACCGAGGCTCACGTTCCCCCCACCCCACGCAGAATGAGGTGGGAACGGGTGTCTCCATTTTATCCCCGTAATGCTCACTCATCAGGGCTCTCGCTCCTTTTCAGCTCCCAATTCTTCTGAAAGGAACGGCAGATGATGATGTCCCGTGTCCGGGTTACTTGTTTGAGGAGATCGCTAGTATCCTTCCTTGTCACCCACATGCGGGGCCTTGGAGCAGCTCGTCCTGTCCGGAGGAGTCCCACAGTTCCTTTACTCTAGAGACCAAGTGTGGGTGGGTCCAAAAGCCACATTACTGACGGTATGGCGCCCAGGAGGCCCTGGAAGCCCCAAGCTCTGGAAACCAGGGCCTTGGGTGGGTGTTTTCGGGAGGACTCACGAGAAGTCTGGTGGCAGGAAGGCCTGGTTCTCTCTCCCACCAGGCCCTAGTGTGGCCAGGGGTCAGCTCGCTCCTTCCCTAACCCAAGTGTGTACCAGAAATCTCCCACGAGTCCCTGGGCAGCAGCCAGTGCCTCTTGGAGTACCTTCTGAACCGTCTGCACAGTGGCTCCGGCCGAGTGAAGCTCAAGGTGAGTCCCTGCACAGCCCCCGCAGACCCTTCCCTGAGTCAGGGCCCCAGCTCTGGCCAGTGGTTGGCGAAGCAGGAGGATGCAGCGGGATGTGTGCAGGCTGCTCTCAGGGCCTGTGCCACCCCATGTGACTGTCCCCCAGGTGCTGAAGATCCTGCTCCACCTGTGTGGTCACGGCTCCTCGTCTTCCCTGCTCATCCTCAAACGCAACCCTGCCTTCATCCAGGAAGCTGCAGGTATCAGGCACAGGGGGGAGGGCAGCCAGGGTCCCTCAGCCAACCGCCAGAGGCAGCCCCTTGCAGCTCCAGGCTTGTCCCCAGCACCCCACACCCCAGCCACCACCTTCTCCTTCTGGCCATCGCTGCATCCACCGCACGGGGCAAAGTGGCCTGTTTCTGCCTGTGTGCCCTGCCAGGCCTTGGCAGCCCAGACCTGTCCTGCCCGTTTTAGTACCCGGCACACCACAGGTGCTCAGCAGGCGTCTGCCACCTCCCATGTCACGGGCTCTGTCTCCTCTCCAGGGTTGCTCCTTAGGGCCCGAGACAGGGAGCACTGTGGGCTTCTGCTTCAGAAGGTCTGCAGGAGACCATCAGGAGAGGTGGGGCTCTGGCCTGTCAGGTTCTGACGCCACGTCTCACCCCCACCCCCACTCAGGTGGGGGGCTGTCACATATCTTTCTCCCTAGCTAGGACTTGGGGGGACATGGTCTGAGACCTTCTCCTCAGGTAAGGCAGGAGTCCTGGTTGCAGGTGGTCTCGGGGGCATAGCACCTACAGACTCCACTACACGCCCTGAGTGACTCTTTGGAAGGGCTTGGCCTCCAGGCAAGAACCATGCCCACCGAGCTGTCCCTGAGAGGGGAGCACTGGGGAGTTGCTCTTGGCCACCTGGTGCTCACAGGGGACCCTCACGCAGCACATCCTACCCGCCAGGTGCTAGGATACACCCCATACCCTGAAATCACTGTCGGCCCTTCACCGAAGGCAGGGTTGAGTGAGGGTAGGCACTCAGGGCCCGGGAGAGCATCACTGCACAAAACCCAGACACTGCCCCAGGTGTCTGTCGGGGCCTGTGCTTGTCCCAGCGAGCTCCCCAAAACTTGTGCACGGAAATAGCATACTCGTCGATTCTCGCCGGCTGGTGCGTTTCAGCGGTGTCAGTGTGGCCCATGCAGGTCGTCACTTCCGTCCTCCACCCCCAGAGCACGGGTGGAGCGGCTTAGGTTGTGGCAGACAGTAGCACTCTGTTGGCAACAAAATCTCTCTCGCTACAGGGCAACTACCAGTTAGCGGTCTCAGTCCGCCGTGCTCTGAGCGCCGACCCCGGGGGACGGGGCCACCGGCCGAGGGGAGTGGGGCTGTGACAGCAGGTGGCTCTGGGCAGGAGGGCTGGCGGAGGACTGCCTCGGCTCGCATAGGAGGGGCCGGGTGCCATCCCCTGTCCACCGGTGGTTCAGCTTCCGGCCGGCAGTCCTGGCTGGGCCCAGGGCCGATGTGTGCACACGCCGGGCCACCCGGCAGGGCGGGGACGGGACGGCACCAGGGGGTGGGACACGAGATGCGTGTGCGACGGAGAAGGCGGGAGCCCGGCGTCGTGGAATTCTCAGGAAATTGCATCTGCCGTCGCTGACGCTTTGGGAGGCAGAGCTTGCAGGCCCTGTTAAAGAATGGGGGTTTTAGTGTTCATTCCCTGGAAATCTGCAGTTTGCATCGGATGAGACCTGCTCGTGTTCCTTCCGCGTGGACAGTGGGTCAGGGGGGTACCTCGGCCGCCAGGGCGGGAACTCAGCTGAGACGGCAGTGGGGTCGGGGAGGGGCTTGTCCGGCTCTGCGGGTGAAACGCGGGCCCGGCTGGGGTCGGGGAGGGCTTGTCCGGCTCTGCGGGCGAAACGCGGGCCCGGCTGGGGTCGGGGAGGGCTTGTCCGGCTCTGCGGGCGAAACGCGGGCCCGGCTGGGGTCGGGGAGGGCCCCTGTCCCGCTCTGCAGGTGAAACGCGGGCCTGGCTGCTGTGCACGTGTGCAAGGGGGCAGTCTGGGGCTGCAGGGCTGCGGCCTTCACGGGCCAGGACCGTGGTGTGGTTCTGAGAAGCAGCCTGGGGCAGTGGGTCCTGGATGACGGGCTCTGGGGGCTCCCCAGGCTTGGGCCAAGGAGCAGAGGTGTTCTGGGGAGCGGCAGATGCCGCCGTAGGGACTTGGACTTGGAAGTGATGTCACACAGGGGATTTGAGGTCAGACCTTTGCTTTAGGAAGCTAATCCGCGCCCTGGGCATGCTGGGGTCACCTGCGAGGGGTCGGAGCTCTAGGGGCTCGGGGGGGGGGTGCCTGGGCTGGGCTGGGCTGCAGCTCAGCACCCCCGGGGGGGTCAGCAGTGCCCACTCAGTGCTGTCTTTCTGGCTCTGCCCGCAGTGTTCTCAGGCCCCCCAGATCCTCTCCATGGGAACAGCTTGTACCAGAAGGTGCGGGCAGCTGCCCAGGTGAGCCTAGGACTCAGGTCAGTCCCAGGACAGCGACGGACGTTTCTCCTTCTCCCACCACCCTGGACCGTGGCTCTGCTCCTGCTGCAGGACCAGATGCCCTGAACCTGGTCCTCAGAACCGTGGGCACAGGGGACAGCAGCCAGACTGCACGAGCTGAGCACCCTTCTCATTGTCTAGGACCTGGGGAGCGCCCTGTTCTCTGACACCTTGTCACCTCTGCCTCCCTCCCAGCTGCCCAGGGTCCTGCCTCCAGCAGGTAGGCAACCGTGTCCGTCCCTTGCACTGAGTCGTCCCTCTGGGGAGGGCTCGGGGTCCCTGCTCCCCACCTGCCGTCCTTGGCCAGCATGTTGCTCTGCGCAGGGCTGGGGATGGGTGGCCACGCTTGCAGCTGACGTGGGCCTTGCCCGCAGGCATGGGCTCGCAGTCCAGACCCCAGAGCGCTCTCCAGGGCTTTGGCTACAGCAAGGAACGGGGCCACACGGGTGAGTGCTGTGGGGGCTCTTGGGTGCAGGGGTGAAGGCCTGGCAGCTCGGGCCTCCTGAGGCATGGAGGGTGGTCTGGCCGGACCAGTGTGCCCGGCGCCCGCGGTTTTCTCTGCCCAGGTCTGCAGGACAGCAAGGCAGGGCGGGTCTGCTTCACCAGCAAGCGAGAAGTCAGGCTGAGCCTCAGTTGCACATGGGGGCGCCCAGCCCCTGGCTCCTTCAAGGGCCGGAGGGCACAGGTCACTGGGCCTGGCTGGGACGGAGGCGACCCCGAGCAGGCGCGGTGCTGGTTGAGGGTGGAGGCAGCTGTCTGTGTGCCGGGGCGTGCACTCGAGGCCTGCTGCGGTGGCCTGCGTGCTACCCGTTCTTGTCCTGGCTCTCAGACCGCCCAGCGCTTGGGGAGCACCGATTCCTAAAGCAGGTCTGGCTCGGAGGTCTTGTCTCTTCCTAATGGGGGGGTGACAGTGGTTGGTGCCTGTAGGGCACTCGTGGGAAAGGGCATGAGCCACCATGGGGATTGTGAATTCCAGCACAAGCAGCATCTTAGGGGGTCCCCTGCTCCCACACAGGGCCATGGGGACCCAGGGGTGTGGCTCTGCCGTAAGCTGTGGAGCACCAGGCTCCATCAGGCCTGGAAATATACTGAAGCAGAATTCGCCAGGGAAGTTTCCAGGAGGATCCATATCCCCCCTACGTGGCCTCTGCTCTGTAACTACAGCTCAGATCTCGCCCTTTCAAGTCTTGAGCGGGAGCAGTATCTCCTCCTGGGAGACACGGGAGAGCATGGGGTACGGGACCAATGAGGGCTATCTCCTTCTCCCTCTCCCTCTCCCTCTTGTGCAGGCTCTGCGGGCGAGGGCTTCTTCTCCACCATCCAGAAGGCTGCAGAGGTGGTGGCCAACGCTGTGCGCCCCGGGCCCGAGAGCCCCAGCACCCAGAGGTCCCTACCGCGGGGTGATGCCTACCAGCCTGCCATGACGCCTTCAGCCAGTCACGGTGGCCAGGCTGCTGGGAAGCCGCTCTCCAGAGCCCGCCCAGGTGCCCGAGGAAGTGGTGAGACTTTTCTGGGGGGTCTGGCTTCCCCCTGCCAGGGTCTGGGTGAGTGGCCCCTCCCTGTCCTTTGCTCGGGGGAGAGAGGGCAGTCGGGAGCGAGGGGCAAGACTCCTTTGGTAGCAAGAGTCCCCAGCTCCCGGCTCAGGGGGGCAGCAGTCGAGAGGCTGGGGAGGAAGGCAGTGTGCCCTGCATGGGGTCAGGGAGTCCTGCTCTGCTGGTCCTGCCATGACTCAGAGGTGGCGTGCTATCCGATGCTCCCTTGGCCGGGTGGCGCACCCACAGAGCCTGCCACCAACTTGGCGCGCATTTACTGTGGTCCCTGTGGTGGCTTCCTCGTCATATGAAGATTACACACGGCGTGTAGACGCTGCTTTGCCAATCTCTTGCCGGAACCTCGGGTGTTGGGCTCCCAAAGGCTCGCCCTGCTCAGATACAGACCCAGGACCCCAGCAGGACAGCAAGGACTCCGGGGCCAGGGCCAGCCTCCACAACACGCACGTCCCACTGGGGGAAGTAGACAGCAGCCCGAGTGGGCAACAGAGCCGGGTGCGTGGCCAGGAAGGACCGCTCAGGACAGGCGTCAGGGTGATCTGAGCCTCTGCCTGTAGCAGAGGCTCCTGGGAGTTCAGCCGGCTTGAAGGAAGAATGTCAGGATTCCCTGAGAATTGAGCGCCACCCACTCGGGCCCTGCACCTCCTGCCACGGGCCCGCACCCTCCTGGCCTTGGGTGCCCGGCGCTGCTGGGTCTGCATGAGCTGGCCCGAGGACAGGCGTGTCTTGGGCATGCCCTGCTCCGTCCCATGTCACTTTGTGCCCAGTGTTTTTCTTTTTTTTTTTTTTAAAGATTTTATTTATTTATTTGAGAGAGAGAACGAGAGAGAGCATGAGAGGGGGGAGGGTCAGAGGGAGAAGCAGACTCCCTGCTCACAGCAGGGAGCCCGATGCGGGACTCGATCCTGGGACTCCAGGATCGTGACCTGAGCCGAAGGCAGTCGCTTAACCAACTGAGCCACCCAGGCGCCCTGTGCCTGCTGTTTTTTGGGAGCTCAGGCCCTTCCCTGGATTTCCTGGTCCAGGTGCCCCGGGGAGGGAGGGTATGAGGCGGGTCAGAGGCAGGAACTCAGGAACTCAATCTACCCCCAGTCCTGTCTCTTACAGCCCTGAGACCCCAGCCTGGGCAGGCTGGAGGGGGCTGGGACGAGCCAGACAGCAGCTCCAGCTCCCAGACTTCCTCCCAGGAGAACGGCGACCCGAGCAAGGCCTCGGACTCAGGCAGTCGGTCGGGCAGTGACAGTCCGTCGGCGGCCAGCCAGGCACCCAGCGACCTGGCAGAGCGGTGAGTGGGCCCCATAGGGCACCCTCCTGGTCCTTTTTCGGGTCCTACCCTGGGGGGAGGCCTGACCTGGAGGGGTCTTTCTCCAGCCCTGACCGCTATGCTCCCAACAGGGTTGAGGCCGTGACCCTGAGCGACTGCCAACAGGAGCAGAGCCTGGTTCAGACCGTGACACGTGGGCCACGCGCCTTTCTGAGCCGAGAGGAGGCACAGTGCTTCATCAAAGAGTGAGTTTCCCACCTCTCCCGGCCCCCGGCCTCAGCGCTCGTGCCCCACCTCCTGATTGCCCTTTCCTACAGGTGTGGGTTGCTCAACTGTGAGGCCGTGCTGGAGCTGCTGACCCGCCACCTGGACGGGCCCAGCGAGTGCGTGCAGATGGTGAGGCCCGGCCCATGGGGGGAGGGGCGCGGTACGTGCAGGTACAGGGGAGCAGGTGGGGGTAGCTGGTGGCCTCCTCACAGGGGGTCTGCCCTGGGCAGGAGGGGGAGTGAGCATAGGATTCCAGGGGGCCTGCCCCGGGGCTTCCCCAACTTGGGGCTGCCGTTGGGCCAGGAGGAGGGGAGCTGGTCAGATGGGTCTCCCTCCTGGGGTGGACCTTGCTGACCTTCTGTGTGCCTGGCAGAGAGCCCTGGGTGCCATTGCATCCCTGGGGCGCACCGACCTGCTCTCCCAGGAGCACATCCTGCTCCTCACCCGGCCACGGCTACAGGAGCTCAGTGCAGGCAGTGCCGGACCTGTGACCAACAAGGCCACCAAGGTGGGCAGCAGCCGGGGTGCAGAGGAGCGGGTGAGGGGATGCCTCAGCAGTCCTACACCTGTCCGTCCAGCCTTTCCCAGGTGCACCTGTACACCCCTGCTTCTTGCTGCGTGGGACAGCTCGTGCCCTTAGAACAGCAGCTGGGGTCCCCGGCCCGTGGCACTCCAGGCTTGCTGGCCTCCTCCTGGTTCCTGGAACCTGCCAGTTCACCTGCCTTACTGCTCAGTAGCTCTGCTGTGCAGGCAGCTCCCCCGACCACTCGGCTCAGCTCACAGGCAGCCTTCTGCGGGAAGCCCTCCTTGCTTGCTCGGGTGGATTTACCTTACCCTTCTGTTCTCCACCCCGTGCTTGGCTCCCCGGTCCTTTCCTGGCTCCTGGAGGGCAGAAACGGTTTCGTTCTTCCAGAGTCCCTTTTCCACTAATGACTGAATGGTGTGCAGGCCGCCTGACCCTCACTGGGGAGCCTCTGGGCAGCGCCCCCACAGCCAGGCCCCAGCACCTCCTCTGCCTGTTGGCATCTCTGGCTTCTCCGTTCCTCTGTGCCCGCGGAAAACTCAGATCCTTAGTCGCTTGTCTTTCAATTGTTTTTTTGTCATAATTAGTGAGCCAGCGACATACGAGCCCCAGTCATAGTGGGATTTCTGGGGACGGGAAGGCGGGAGGAGGCCGTACGTGCAGCAGTGGGGAAGGACCGGAGGGTTTAAGGCCCGTTCTTCCCTCGGTGTCCCTGCCAGGTGCTGGCGGGGCGCCTGACCACCTCTCCCCGTGCTGGCTCGTCGTGCGGCCAGGCTCTGCGACCGGGGAAGATGCCGGTCACATGACAGCGGGCGCGGCTGTGTGCGGGCGCAGAGGGCACGGCCGGTGTCGAAGCAGGCGGGGGGCGGCAGGAGGAGCAGCTCTGGGCAGGGGTGCTCGGGAGGAGGGTGTCTCTGTGCCCCCAGGGGTGCACAGGAGCCCTCACCAGCCCCCTCTCCTTCCACGTCCAGATCCTGAGGCACTTGGAAGCCTCCTGCCGGCAGCAGCCCCCTGCCCGGGGGCCCCCAGCTGAGCCGGGCCCCGCTGCTGCCCACGTGGGCCCGTCAGACCTGCTGACCGACACCGTGCCTTTCGCTGGGAGCCAAGCCTTCCTGCAGCCCCTGAGTCCCGCCCTCTTCCCGCCCAAGGGCTCTGCGCTCCCCGCTCCCCAGGGTGGCTCCTCCCTCTCAGTCCCCGGGGACGCCAGTGGGGTGGAGAGCAGACTGGCGGGTTCCAGAGAGCAGGGGGCCCCATCTGAGTGGAGCCCGTTGGGCACAGGCTCCCCCGAAGGAGCACCAGAACTTAGCCCGGGGCCTAGCAGCTGCCTGCAGAGCCCGGCAGCCACTGGCAGCTGCAGCTCCTTGTTTGCTGGAATGGAACTGGTGGCTTGTCCCCGCCTGGTGGGGGCCGGGACTACCACAGAAGGGGCCCCCCAGGCCCCCTGGACATTGTCACAGAAGGTGGCAGTGAGAGAGCCTCCTGGCGCAGAGCCATCAGCTTTCCCATTTTTAAACTCATGACCTGGCCACAGCCTGGGCCACACGTGGAGTCCTCATGGCCCCCGACCTCTCACTCCCAGGACCCTGTGACTTTGTGCTGTCCTGTTTGCCCACAGCCCCCATGTTCCACCAGGAGTGGTTCCCCTTGGGCGTCTGCAGCCGGCCCTGCTTTCCCTCCGGCTGCTTCCCCTCGCTAGCAGAGGACGAGGGACAGGCGGCTCACGAGCCGATCGAACAGCCACTCGTCAAGCCTGGACGATACACCAGGAGTCCCCCAGCCAGACGGAGCCAGGCTGCACCGTGCAAAGGAGTCCATGGGGGCCAGCTCCCAAACGTTTTTCTGCAGGAGAAGATGGACCCCCCCCTCACACACGGGCCCTTGTGGGTGTGGTGGCTGCGGGGAGAGCCGTGCCGGTTTCTAGGCAGAATTAGGAGCTGAGCGGCTTGTTCAAGATGGGCAGCTGTGGGCCTGGACTGCTGGGTTTCCTGCCATGCAGCCGTCTGGTCGGGTAGGGTGACCACGCCATCTGTGTGGCCCCACCTGGAAACAGGCCCCTCTCCCCGTGGCCAGAGGGATGGGAGGCGGGAGCTGTGGGGCAGAGGGTGCAGCATGGCCTGCCTGGACGGCACAGGAGGGGAGGCCTGGCTCCTCACTCAGAGCACACTCGGGCACATGGAGAGGGGCACCCAGCTCCTCTGTGGAGGACGTGACAGGAGGAGACTGAGCCCAGGCCATGGCTCTTGCCAAGCTGCTACTGTTTCCAGGTGACTGTAGAGAGGAGGGCACGGGCTTGCCTCAGTTTCCCTCCATGTCCCCTGTACCAGAGACTAGCTGTTTGGACTTGAATCCCTGTAGAGCAGGCAGGCTTACAACAGGGCCTCAGCAGTGTGGACCTCAGGGGTCCCCTGGAGACCCATGCCTGCCTCGCAGAAACAAGGCTTTCTGTGGATGTGGAACCACTGCTTGGGTCTTTATGTTTGAGCTCAGATCGCTGCCCCCTTGGTGTCCTGCTTCCTGCAGACTGCCCGGGGCGGTCACACCACCTAAATGTCCTAAGTAAACGCTAGCATTCCCACAGCCACGCTGACGCTGTTCCTTCCTGTGTGTGTGTGCGTTTCAGTGACAACAGCATTAAGGGGCACACTTAGAGGACTTCCTTTGTCCTGTCAGAAAATGCTGGGGAGAACAACCCAGCAGGTCCGTCTGGTCCTTCGGTGTTAACTGTGAGGTTTTAACTATGAAATTAAGTTTCTGAAGCAGGTGCAGGGCTCTTCAGGTTCTCTCTTCCCACCTGAGTGTCAGGAATTTATCTTCCATGGAGCTGGTCCGTTCCACAGATGCCGGCTGTCTGTAGGATCCTTCATTGCTCATGTTGATGACTTTTTCCCACTCTTGGTTAGTCTGATTAGAAGTTAATAATTTTTTCAAAGAACTAAAACTTGGTATTATTTTTTCTACTGTTTTTATGTTTTGTATTTCATTGCTGTTTGCTCTTTATTATTTCTTTCCTACTGTTTTGGGTTCATTTTTTCTTTTTTCTAGTTTCTTTAAGGTGGAAGCTTAGATGATTGATTTGAGACCTTTATTATTTTTCTAACATTAAAAAATTTAATGCTGTAAGTTTTTCTCCAGACACTGCTTTGATTGCATACCATGAATTTTGATAGTTTTATTATTTTTTTTAAAGATTTTTATTTATTTATTTTAGACATAGAACAAGGGGAGGAGCAGAGGAAGAGGGACAAACAGATTCTGTGCTCAGTCCCACGACCCTAAGATCATGACCTGAGCCGAAATCCAGAGTTGGACAATTAATGGACTGAGCCACCCAGGTGCCCCTGATAATAGTTTTATTTTTATCTAGTTCAGAATACTTTCTAATTTCCCTTGAGATGTCCTTTTGTCTAATGGGTTATTAAATGTGTTTTTTTCCCCCTGTTATTAGGCTTTTAATTCTGATATAGTCAGAACGTTTTCTATAACTTCAGTTCTATTGTTCAAGATTTGAAACTTCTGTTGAAGTTTAATGGCCCAGAATATATAGTTTATCTTGGGGAATGTTCCATGTGCACGTGGTCTAGAGAACTCCAAACCGGTATCCTTCATGAACATAAGTTTTGGGGTTTTTTTATCCTCAACAAAATATTAGCAAAATGAATCCAACAATATATAAAAAGGTTACTACATCACGATAAGTGGAGTTTATCCCAGGGATGTAAGGGTGGTTCGACCTCTGAGTGTCAGTATAATTCACCAAATTAACACATTTATGAAGAAAAATCACATTTTATGCAGAAAATGCAAGAGACAAAATTCCAACATTTCATTCATGAAAAATACTCTTTGCAAATGAGAAATACAACAATTTCTTTCACCTGGTCCCAGAGCTAGCGTCATACTTAATGGTGTAGGACTGAATGCTTTCCCCCCCAAGGTTGGGAACAAGGTAGTTCTATCCATTCTGACCACTTCTGTTCAGCATTGTACTGGAAGCCCTGGCCAGTTCAATGAAACAGGAGGAAAGGGGGGCAAATACATTGGAAGGGAAACTTATTCACAGACATTACTGTCTATGTAGAAACTCCCACAGAATCGACAAAAATTCCCAAGACTGATTAGTGGGTTTAGCAAGGGCACGGGCTATGGGGTAAATCCTACTACCAACTGTATTTTTGCATACTAGCAATAACACCATATGCTGAAAAATAGAGGAGACTGATGGAAGAAGTCAGTGAAGGCCTAAATGGAGAGTTATACCATGCTCATGGATTGGAAAACTTCATATTCTTAAGACGTCAGTTCTCCCCAAATCCATCTACAGATTTAACATAATCCTCATCAAGGGACGCTGGGTGGCTCAGTTGGTTAAGTGTCTGCCTTTAGCTCAGGTCATGATCCCAGGGTCCTGGGATCGAGTCCCGCATCAGCTCCCTGCTCAGCTGGAGGCCTGTCTCTCCCTCTGCTTGTGCATGTGCTCTCTCTCTGACAAGATCTTTAAAAAAAACCATAATCCTCATCAAAATTCCAGCTGGGTTTATTTGTAGATGGTGACAAGCTGATAACTAAAATTTATAGGAAAAGTTAAAATAAATTGAATAGGCAAGGTAATTTTGAGAAAGAAGAACAAAAAGACTCCCACTACCTGATTTGAAGATTGACTGCCAGCAGCACTAATGGAGGGTGGTGGTGGTGAAAGTTCCGACACAGATCAATGAGCCAGTGTAGACAGTTCAGAGACAGACCCATGCAAATATGGTCAATTGATTTTCCACAGAGGTGTGGAGGTACTTCAGTGGAGAGAGGATAACCTAACAGATGGTACTGGGATAATTTGACATCCAACACACACACACACACACACACACACACACACACACTTGTCCTATACTTCACACT